CAGGAGCGCTTCAGGTGCGGGCGCCGCTGGGCGGCGAAGGGGTGCTGTCCGTCCTCCTGGCCCCTGGGACCCCACCTGGGGTGCCGGCCTCAGTGGCGGATGAAAGGGTCTGGGGGTCCCAGCCCCGGGTGTTCTCTGAGCCAGACCCTCCCTCCATCCTGCATCCTACAGATCTGCTGGAGGGCCAAGCCCCGTGGCCTCAGGCAAGCACTCTGCCACTAACCCGGGTGTCCCCAGCCCCCGGCCCCATGGTCCCACAGGAACGCGGCCAGGGCTGGATTCCCACCCTGAGCTCTGAGGGATGAATCCGAGTGCTCAGACAGCCCGGGGCACAGAGCGGGAAGGGGGGACTCCGAGGCGCCTTCCTGTGACTCACTTGCTTCTAGGGGACCACACCCGGTCTCCTGGGATAGACAGGCCGAGGAGCCCGGCAGAGTAGAAGGTGCCAGGCAGAAGAGAGTTGAGGCATCTGTGGAGGGCACTTGTCTCTGGGGGTGACTAGAAGACAGAGGCCTCCCCGCATTCCCCTCCTCCCAGGTGCATCACCAGGTCCTTCTACCGGAATGTGGTGGGCGTCCTGCTGGTCTATGATGTGACGAACAGGAAGTCCTTCGAGCACATCCAAGACTGGCACCAGGAGGTCCTATCTACTCAGGGCCCCAAGGTGATCTTCCTGCTGGTTGGCCACAAGAGTGACCTGCAGAGCACCCGCTGTGTCTCCACCCAGGAGGCAGAGGCACTGGCCGCCTCCCTGGGCATGGACTTCATAGAGACCTCAGCCAGAAACAACTGCAACGTGGACCTGGTCTTTGACACCCTCACAGATGCCATCCTGCAGGCTCTGCAGCAAGGGGACATCAAGCTGGAAGAGGACTGCGGGGGTGTCCGGCTCATCCGCAGGGCCCAAGTGCCCCAGTCCCCTAGCAGGAAGCAGCAACACCCAGGCCCATGCCAGTGTTGACTCAGAGGGGTCCTGACCTCACCACCCTGTGGGACAGGGACTGTTACTATCTCCCGGGACAGATGACAAAAGATTAATGTCAGTAATATCTTGACATGTCCTGCCTCCTGGATTTTGAAGTCTTGCCCCCCACTTTGCTAGAGGAAGAGCTAAGAGGCCAGGTATGCATTTCCTCTCCTTGAACCTGTTTCCTCATCTGTCAGTGGTACTCAAAAAGACCCCATGGCTTGGGGAGGTTGTGGAGAGATAAGGGACAGGGTGCGCTCCGAGTTCTCACACTGAGAACTGAAGAACAAAAGCTGTCATTCCTGCCATTCCTTTCTGGCTGTGATGCCACCATTTCTGGCAGCATTCCTGGGCTCAGTGGCATCTGGATGGCTGCCCTGGGGAGGATGGTGTGGGGATTTCCAGTGTGATCCTGGCTTGGAGCCACCCCCGACCTTTTTCTTGAGATAGAGCCTTGCTGTATAGTTAATTCAGGCTGGCCTTGAACTCACTATGTAGCCCAGGCTGGTCTTGAAGTCCAGGTGAGTCTCCTGCCTCAGCCTCTCAAGTGCTGGATCACAGGTGTGCTCCACTACGTCCGGCCCTTGGAGCCTGTTTTGGTCCTCAGACTAGAATGAGTCTGGGCACAAGAGGTGTGATTTCAGACTCAGGGTTGCTGCTGACTGTGCCCATCCCAAACCCAGGGGCTGAATCTGGATCCCACAGGCAGGGATAACGTGAGTGAGCAGCAGTCAGGTTGGGCACGGTGGACGCTTCTCAGAAGAGCCGTGGAGGGCTGAAGGGTGCGCTACGCCCCAGCGGCTGGGCACTCTCCATGAGTGACCTTAGCTTGCGAAGCTCCCTCCGAGACTGCCAGTGCTGGGGCAGCCCATGTCCAGCTTCCTTCCGTGCAGGTTTTTAAGGTCCTCATGCCCCAACTCTGGACAACGTTGAGGGTCAAACCCAGCTTCATCTCTCCTTGGGCTTCACTGAGGACATCAGTGTGACAGCATCACAGCCAATCCTGCGTCCTTCCCACCCAGATGTGGCTTTCCAGAATGTGCCCTAATAAGTCTGTCTCCCGAGCTCTGTCTCAGACTCTGCCTGCCAGGAAGCTACTCAGTCACAGGGACTGCCGGGCAAGAATGGGAACATTTCATTGATTCACCTCATTTGTTATCTTTAAATGAGAACTCTGTTCAAGTCTGGGGATACAGCAATGACAATGACAGAAAAGTCCTGTTGGGGCTGGCATTCTAGTGGAAGAGAAAGAGAGAGGAAAAAAAGTAAATGAACTGCATGATTCCCAGCTGTGCTCAGTGCTGTGCAGAGCACAGATCAGGGACACCGGGGCTGCGGTGTGATGGCCAGGGAGGGCCTCAGAGGAGCTTGGAGCTGAGCCCTGGAGGGGGCGGAAGAGCTGTGCTAAGAGCAGAGTTCGTGCAGCAGTGACCAACCCAGCCCTGACACAGTGCTTCTTCTGTTCCAGCCATGTGAGGTAGGTGCTGTTACTCCACGCTACAGATGAGACCAGGCCCAGAGCGAGCTGAGTGACTTGCTTCAAGTCACATAGCCAGGAAGATCCAGGAAGTAGAATGCTTTCTCTGGGAATTACAGATCTGTCTGTGGCTCCCAGGGTGTCCCTGCACAGGAAGGAAGCTAGTTTGGCAGAGTGGTAAGTCCTGGCCACAGGACTATCAGAGACAAAGAGGAAGAAAGAACTGACTTGCCCCTTGGAAACCCTGGCCAGGGGCCAGGAGAACCAATCCTTGAACCCTCAGGCTTGCAGGCAGGGTCATCTCCACGGAGAGACAGTGTCCTTGTGCCCAGCTGCCCTCTTCCTTTCTAAATGCAAAGTGGCAATAATAGTTCTGGCCCCACGGGGTTGTGACACTAAATGACACTTATGCGAACTCCTACCACAGTGTGTGCCCTTCTGTATTTGTATCTTGATACAGGATCAAAGTTGCCATTCCCTTGCCTCGGCCTCTGAGTGATGGGTTATAGACGTGCATCACCACACGTAGCAAGTCCAGCACATTTTGCCCAGTTTATCCACAGGGTAGGAAAACTGACCTGGCTGAAACTGAACCCAGACCAGCTCAGCATCAAAAATTCCAGTAGTCTTGTGCTGTGCCTTGGGCCAGACCCAGGGTGAATGCTGTCTCCACCTCAGGCTCAGATCCCACCCTGGCAAACCCCCTCTGAGTGGCCAAACCTGCAGAGACTTGCTGGCCACTGTGTGCCTGTGTCAGCAGTTGAGGCTGGTGGGCCCTGCCCTGGCTCAAGGAAAGGCAGCCAGAAAGGCCAGGGAGACAGGGAAGCAGAGGGACAGGCTCAGCCGAGAAGCCACCCTACCCCAAATTGTGGGCCTCTCCTCTCCTTTTGAGGTCTCAGGCCCCCACGGGCGCCCCTGGGACCTAATGTCCATATCCCCCAGAGGTGACTATCTCTTCTTACTGTTGGGGATTGAAGCCAGAAAGCCCTGAGCTACAGTCACAGTTCTTTTTATTTTTTAAAAATTATTTTATTGGGCTGGGATTTAGCTCAGTGGTGCCATTACCTGCCAAGGAAAAAAATTTTTTTTAATTTTTGAGACAGGGTCTTCCTCTGTTGTTCAGGTTGGCCTTGAACTCACTCTGTAACAAGGGCTGGCCTCAAACTCACAGTCATCCTCCTGCCTTGGCCTCCCCAGTGCTGCAGTCACAGTGTGCCAACACACTGGACCCACATGGGAGTCTTTTTAAAGTACAAATGTTGGGCCGGGGATTTAGCTCACTGGTTCTGCTGCCTGCCTTGCAAGCACAAGGACCCAAGTTCAATCCCCAGTACCTAACAAACAAAGTACAGTTGTAGCTGGATGTGGTGGGGGCATACCTTTGATCCCAGAATTTGTGAGGCTGAGGCAGGAGAATCACTACAAACTAGAAGCCATCCTGGGCTACACAGTGAGTTTGAGGCTGATCTGAACTACATAGTAGGACCCTGTCTCAAAAAACAAGGGCCAGGGGCCGGGCATGGTGGACGCCTATAATCCTAGCACTCAGGAGGCTAAAGCAGGAGAATTGCTTTGAGTTGAGACCAGCCTGGGCGACATAGTGAGTTCCAGGTCAGCCTCAACTACATAGTGAGACCCTGTCTAAAAAACCAAAAAGGGGGGAAAAAAAAACCAAAAAAGGGCCAGGGATTTGGCTCAATGGAACTGCCACCTGCCTGACAGGTGCAAGGTCCTGAGTTCAATCCCCAGTACCAAAAAAGGAAAGAAAGAAATCTGGGTAGTGCTAGTTATAGAACAGGTTACCAAATTAAATTCTTACCTATTTTCCTTGAGAGTTTCCCTATTGATCATTGTGAAGGAACTAAGATTACCAAAGTAACCGCTCTAGTGAAATATCAAGGATTTCAGTCTCTAATGAAGATTTTTTTTTTTTTTTTGACAGGGTCTCACTATCCCAGGCTGGTCTTAAAATTGTGATTCTCCTGCCTCAGCCTCTCAAGTGTTGGGATTACAGGCATGTGCCACCATTCCCAGCTCTAACAAAGTTCTTCAAGGTCTTAACTGGGTGGTAATCCCAGCACTATGGGAAGTTAAGGCGAGGATTGCAAATTCAAGCCTACTTTAGGCAATTAAGCAAGACCTCATCTTAGAATAAAATAAAAAGGCCTAGGGATGTGGCTTAGAATGAATGTGTGAAGGCCCTGGGTTCAATCCCCCACCATTAAAAAAAAAAAAAAAAGTGCCACCTGGAGATGTGGACTGGGCTCTGCTTTTTTTTCTTTGTGGTACTGGTGATGGAACTCAGGACCTTCACACTGAGTTATTTCCTCAGCCCTTTTTGATTTTGAGATAGGATATTGCTTACTCACTAAATTGCCCAGGCTAGGTTTACATTGTGATCCTCCTGTCTCAGCCTCCCAGAAAATCCTGGGAATTACAGGTGTGCACCAGCTTGCCCAGCCGGACTCTGCTGTCTAAGGGTGAAGTTCTAGAATCCTCCCTTTAGGTCTATTTCTAGGCATTTTTTTTTTTTTTTTTTTTTTTTTTGCTAGGGTCTCACTATGTAACCCAAGATGGTCTCAAACACATGAGAATCTTCCTGCCTCAGCCTCCTGAGTGCTGGAGTTAATAAGCCTGTACCACCATCCCCAGCTCTCCTTTGTGTCTTTCATGTGTTACCCCCTTGCCTGGTGCCCCTCTCCCCGGTCAAACGTCTCATCCTTTAGGCTGAGCCCAAACCTTGCTAAATTGCCCAGTCTGGGCTCGAGTTTGAAATACTCCTGCCTCAGCTTTTAGAGTGTGGGATTATTCATACGTGCCTCATTCCTAGCTATTTATTGTCCCTATCTTACTGCCCTACTAGATTGTTGATCTTCAAAGCCAGGTCTGTCTTTGACTCTCATGCAGAGGCTGCCTTGTGTGGGGGATCAGTAGGCTCTAAAAAACTCTTACGGGCCTTGCGTGGTGGTGCATGCCTGTTAATCCCAGCACTCGGGAGGCTGAGGCAGGAGAATCACTGTGAGTTTGAGACCAGCCTGGGCTGCATAGTGAGTTCCAGATCAGTCTCAACTACATAGTGATACCCTGCCTCAAAAAACCAAAACCAAAAACAAAAACAAAAAAAACAAAAAAAACCCCTCTTATGGAGGCCAGGAGTAATCCCAGCACTCTGAGGCTGACGCAAGAGGATCGCCGTTTGAGGCCAGCCTAGGCTACATAGTTCAAGGCCATCCAGAACTACATAGCAAGACCCGGTCTCAAAAACAAGCAAGCAAGCGAACACTTACAGAAATTTTCTTTTTCTTTTTTTTCATTTTTTTGGTACTCGGGATGGAACTCGGGACCTTCTGCTTGCCAGGCAGGCAGTGGAACCACTGAGCTAAATTCCTGGCCTTGGAGATTTTAAAACATACTGAGGAATAAAGAAAATGGCATGAAGTATAAAATAATATAAAGAACTCCTCATGCCCAAACTCAGTCTCAACAGCCATTAGCAGAGACGGCCAAATCTTGGGTGTTTTTTGTTTTTTCGTGCTGGTAGAGATGGAACCCAGGGCCCGTGCACACTCAGCCACACCACGCCCGATGCCAGGCCTGCTCCCCACCTCGGGCCCTTCTTGACCCGGGCTCTGGAAGGACCAGGGCCCAGGCCCCAGGCCGCAGTGCGGGGGAACCTTCCGGCTCCTCACGCTGTGCTGAGGTCCGGGTTCGGAGAGAGGCAACCTTCAGGCAACCTTCACGTCCCTCAGGGAGGAAGAGGAAGACACACACGTGGGGGCTGGGACCCGCACAGGCTGCCAGGTCACAGCGTGGCCGCTCAGGACGGTCGCAGGGCCAGCGCCTCTGTCCTGATGAGACCCAGGTCTGCACTGGCTCCGCACCGATGATGTCTCTTCAGTGTCGCGGCAGCTGTGCCGAGCCAGGGTCGGCAGTGTCCTGGGAGCCCAGACCTGGAAGTCCGAGATCGCCTGGGCTTACAGCTCCACTCCAGCAAGGCGAAACCGAGGGGCTAGGGCCGCCTCTGCTCTCCGCAGCCCCAGCACCACGCAGGCCTGTGGCCCAGCCTCCTCCTCAGCACCTCAGCTGCGGGCAGATCTTCCTTGCTTCGGAGGAGGGGACTCAGCTTCTCCTTACCTTCCCTTCCCGGGAGGTGGAGCCTGGAGTCCCGGGAAGCTCCAGTCCCCAGCCCTGCAGCCCCGAGGGCAAGGACAGCCCACCCACAGGGGCACCAGGCCGAGGAACCCCCGGCAGGTCCCAGGCCACCTGGGTGACCTCGGCGCTCCCACCTGGAAAGGAAGGGGCCAGCCTGGATGCTCCCGGGGCCCTGTTTTTTCTAACTCCCAGTAAATCCGCACACCTTAGTTCAGCTCTGCTCCCCACTTCTCTTCCTGGTCCAGGTGGCTCCAGTGTCGTCAGATCTCAAGCTGTTGTGGCACCAACCCTCACCCTGCCTTTGGTTCATTCCTCTTCAGGAAAACCTCAAGCCCTTGACCTTTTCTTGGTACCTGGAACCGAACTCAGGGCCTTTCGCTTGCTGAAAGGCTGAGCTACATCCCCAGCCCTCCTTTACCGTTAATGTAAGTAACAGCAGCAACGCCTCACTTGCACTTCACAGTTTATGACCAACCTCAGGCACCCACATGTTGCTCTTTGACCTCACCTTCACTGGCTGCCCTCTGCCTGGGCACTGCTTTTCACACTTCTTGTTTATGGGCTAGGGATTTGGCTCAGTGGTTCCACCACTGCATCACAAACGCAAGGGCTCAAGTTAGATCCCTGGTACCAAAAAAACCCTTCTTGTTTATATGCCAGTCTCCTCCCACCCCCAGGACTGGGAATTGAACCCAGGGCCTTCACATTAAGCTGTATCCCCAATCCTTTTTGAGACAGGGTCTCACTAAATTCCCAGGTCCTCCTGCCTCAGCCTCCCAAAAGACTGGTATTATAGGTGTGTGCCACCATGCTGGTTTTGTTTTTGTTTGTTTGAGACAGGGTCTCACTATGTAGTTGAGACTGACCTGGAACTATGTAGCCCAGGCTGGTCTCGAACTCACAGCGATCCTCCTGTCTCAGCCTCCCGAGTTCTGGGATTACAGGCATGCGTCACCATGCCCAGCCCATGCTGGTTTTTATGCCAGTTATAAGCCTGTGAATTCTTTTGTGTGATGGGATCTTTCTGAGACTACAAATCATCAGTTAAGTCGCTCACACTGAAGAGGAGAGGGAAGACCAGAGCCAGCTGGCTGCTAGGCCTCACCTTTCCTGCAGCACAGGTGCAGGCACTGGGCAAGGGCTCCATGGACCACTGAGAAGCCAGGATGCCGCCGCTGTACCACTGAGCCTGAGGGCCGCACCCAGGCTCCCTTCCTGCTCATCTTTGCCCTCTCCCTATGAGTGCACCTGTGCTTTAGTCACACTGACCCACTGGCTCCTTCACACCTCCAGGCCTCTCTGCTGACCATGCCTCAGTGGCTCCCATTACTTCTGGGTGAAGACCTCAGGGCTCATATTCATGCAGCTCCCTCTTGGAAGAGAGCCCACCACCCTTCAGCTCGACCCTCAGATCTCTGCTCCAAAAGCATCTCGCTCTCCCTGACTGGCCCGCTGCTTCCTCCAGCCCTGCAACCATCTCCCTCCAAACTAGGCAGGTTCTCCAGGGTGCCGACTGCTCCCTGGGTCTTTCCACACTGCCTGCATCGCTTATAAAGATTTGCTGACAAGGCCGGGGATTTAGCTCAGTGGTTCCACCGGCTGCCTTGCAAGTCCAAGGACCTGAGTTTGATCCTTGGCACCCCCCCCACAATTGCCAACTGAATGCATACACTCCTACTGTGCAGATACACCAACAAGACAGACAGAGGAAGCCACTTACCTGTTACACAGCTGATTAAGGACTGTGGTCTTTCTTTGTCCAGTTCTCTTGTCCCCCTTTCTCCTTAGTGTAGGACTCAAAATCAATGCTGGATTCCTTCCTGGCTGGCGAGGTCAGTGCCCGGTTCCTAGTGTCAGAACTCTGAGGCCTTCTGCTGCTTGTTACTACCAACAGAGTGTTCTTCAAGGGCATCGCCCAGTGGCACTGGCATGTTCCGGAGGAAGTTAAAACCCTCCAGAATCCACATCCTGGTTGCAGGCCACAAGACTGACCTGGTGGCAGAGTGCTGGGCAAGGCCAGAAGAAAGGGCAAAGGCAGCTGTTCCCATGTGGGTTTGAGACGTCCATCCAGAGCAATATGACATCAGCACAGCCTTTGAGCTGCTCCCTCGAGATCTGTGAGTTGTGCCAGGGAACAGAGGCAGGGTCCCTTGGTCCGAGCCCCACGAGGCAATAGACCCCACAGGCAAGGTGGGCAAAGTGGACGAGCTTGCGTGAGTGAGCCGCCCTGACGCCCGAGAGTGATGCTCGGCCCAGGTCGGAACGGTTCCATCAAAGGCTCAACCCTGAGGTCTGCAAGGAAATTGGCTTCCTCTATGTGAAGGTGAAAATCCCAGGACCAGGCACTGTGATAGCACCGGAGAACCAGGGCTTCCCCAGGCTATTCCCGGCCTTTGTCAGGGCCAAGAAGGAACCAAACTTTCTCTTGGAGTTGCAAAAGTGCTCATAAAAGTCCTTAAGTACATTAACATTATTAAAACCAGGATATTTTTAGTTTGGGGTCTGTTACCCAGCTGGTGCAGACAAAGCAGACTCCCAACACCTACTAAAGGTCTGGCTCCTAGGAGTAAAACAATGGGAAATCCCGGCATGTGCCTCAGAAATCAACCCCAGTGCTGACCCCTGCTGGCCAGATTCCCTCGGGCCAGTGTCAAAGGCGCTAAGCCATGCACCCTGTGTCTTTCAATTAATAACTTTTTTATTCTGGAAAAGCAAATCAAATTCATATTCATATAAACACTGACATTACAAAGTACAGGGAAAAGGGGAAGGGAGGAGGAAACAAAACCCTCTACAAATCCTAATACTGTCTCACCCAATAAGACCATAATGCTTTGTCCCACATTCAATCACTTATATAATAAACCACAAATAAAATCTTCTCTGGAAGATATACTGCTCCTCTTTGAGACGGCAGGGAAAAGGGACTGGAAGTTAGGGGTAGGAGGCTTTATTCTTTTGGCAGATCCTCTCAGTCATTATAGATATTGCTGCACTGTTAATAAAAAATATATGCTTCTCTGTAAAGCATTTAAAAAAAAACAAACAAACTCCAAGGATGAGATGGCTGAGGTCTCAGCTCAAGTATCTCCAAATACATTGGACAGGTCCATACCCTGACCTTTCTGTGTGTTATTTCTTGGTTGTTTTCCGGATCAATGCCATTCTCTGAAAGGAGAGAGAAATAAGCAATTACACAGGTTCAACTCAGGAGCTGCAGCCACAAGAGCGCAGTGTGCAGGGCCCCGGGGACCACTTGACTAGACCTCAACTGCTCAAGCCTGTCAGGATGGCAGAAAGGGACTACCCTTGCTTTTTGGAAACATAGGGGAAAGGCTGGCCAAACAAGTTTTCCAGGCTCCCCTGACCTCAGTCTCTTCCTAGAGTGATGGAGAAAATAGGGAAAGGGCCTCCATTTCAAACTGGGTGCCACACCCGAGGCCAGCATCTCATGGATGACCTGCAGTGAAGGGCAACAACTCCCTAGCTTTGCTTGGTTTTTTTTTTTTGGTACTGGGGATGGAACTCACTCAGGTCTTTGCCTTTGCAAGGCAGGCACAGTGCCACTGAGCTAAATCCCCAGCCCTTCAGGCTAGTCCTGAACTTACTATGTAGCCCAGGCTGGCTTTGAACTCATAGCGATCCTCCTGTCTCAGCCTCCTGAGTGCTAGATGTCAGGCATGTAACACCACACCCAGCTTCACTCACTCTTTTTCTTTTTGGTACAGGGGATTGAACTGAGGACCTTGCACTTGCCAGATGGGCATGGGGCTGCTGAGCTAAATCCCCGGCCCTGCTCACTCTTTTTGACCAATAAATTGTTTCATTGTACTATTTGTTGAGTAAATAAATAGGGCTGAGCAGTGGATGAGCTAGGAGCACAGGCAGAAAGAGTGACAGGAGAAACTCCTTTCTGAAGGCCAGTGCAACCTTTCAATTCAGGCTGGCAGTTTCCTGGTCCTCCACAAGCTCTGTCAACAGCTGACCCAGGAATACCAAGCCATGAAAATGCAAGGAACGCACCCAGGGATGCCCAGTCACACCTGTTAAGCTTGGAAATAGCTCGCATTTTGAGTAGCCAGTTAAGACAGAAAGTACAGCGGCCGTGTCCCTCACCACAACTGGCCTAACCAATGCAGGGCCAGCTTGCTCATAGGAGAAGGGCTGTTCTCACACTGCCCCCTAAGTTCCTTGTTAGGAGGGACTGAGAACAAATGTCCATCCGGGTACTCAAGCCAGTGTGCCTGACAGAGCAGCCTGGGTACTACCTCTTCACCTGAGGACAGTGTGTTTCTTTGACATTCTATTCACAAAGCCATATGTGGGCTTCAAACCAGCAATGATAACGGAAGATTTTATGAAGGAGGTGTGGAGGACAGAATCAAGAGTTTCAAGTGACACCCATGACTTGAGAGGAAATGCAAAGCCCACTGGGCACAGTGCAGCACCAAGGAGATGGCTGCTCACACTTCCTCTCGTCCTCTTTGCCTGCTGTGTGGGACAAGGAGACCCCTGAAGGTGGCTGTTCGCATCCCTCTGAGGTGCAGCTCCAGACGGCAGGCACCACCGGCTGCCCTAGGCCCCTCACCTGCTTATGTGCTTCTGTGGTGCAAGCTTTTTTGTAGGGCCGGATTTCTTCAGAGCCAAATCCTGGGATCCACATGTTCCACTGGCGTTCTACAAAGAAGCCCAAACAGCGTGAGGGCCAGGAAGGCCACCCAGGAGCACGATGGGACCCTCAGACCAGCACCAGGGAGGATGGATCGGGACAGGGACTGCACTGCCACCACCCCATGAAAAGTTCCACAGTCACTCATGTCTGCTCCAGGTTTTTTTTTTTTTTTTTTGAGACAGGATCTCACTATGCAGCCCAAGCTGGCACTGAACTCACAATGATCCTCCTGTCTCAGCCTCCTGAGTGCTGGGACTACAGGTGTGCACTCTGTCAACAATGCCCAGCTGTGCAGGTCCAGCTTTTAAAATCATTTAAAATATACTATGGCATTAAGTGCATTCATACAGTTGTGCAGCCATCACTCCTCTCTCCATCTTCACCAAGACAAACTGAAACTCTGTGGCCTCTGAGCAGGAAGCCTGCACCCCCCGGTCTGCACTCAGGTTCTGCTTTCTGTGTGTGAATCTGTGCTGTGGTGGTTTTATAACATTCCTGCAAATCCCTCTCTCCACCAAGAGGTGCATCTAGCTGGGCATGGCTGCTCAGTCAGGCCCATGATCCCAGCACGCTGGGGGGCAGAGGCAGGAAGATCACAAATTCAGCTCAGCCAGCACAACTCAGCAAATAAGGAGACCCTGCCTCAAAATAACCAAAATAGTCTTTCTGACTGCTTCAAAGAGGAGAATTCAACAGGAGGGATTCTGTGTGACTTCAGAGCCTGGGGGTCATGCAGGCCAGGTGTGGTGGCACATGCCAGTAACTCCCACCAGTCAAGAGGCTAAGGCTTGGGAAGCTGAGGCAGGAGGATTGCTGTGAGTTCAAGGCCAGCCTGAACTATACAACGAGACACTGTCTCAGAAAGGAAACAGAAAAAAGAAGACTGAGGTGGAAGGTCACAAGTTCAAGCCTAGTCTAGGCAAGTTAGCTATCTTCAAGATAGAAGAAAAAGAATGAACAAAAGATTTGAGGCACATATAAAAGTAAATGTGAGCCGGGTGTGGTGGTGCACGCCTGTAATCCCAGCACTCGGGAGGCTGAGGCAGGTGGATCGCTGTGAGTTCGAGACCAGCCTGAGCTACATGGGGAGACCTGTCTCAAAAACAAAACAAAACAAAACAAAACAAAAAACCCAAACAAACAAAAGAAGTAAATGTGAAGACAGGTGTGATGGCGCATGCCTATAATCCCAGCATTGGGAGACTGAGGCAGGAGGATCTCTGTGAGTTTGAGGCCACCCTGGGCTATACAGGGAGACCCTATCTGTCAAAAAAAAAAAAAGGAAGAGACACAGACAGAGACATAGGGGAAAGGCCCATGGGGAGAGTGAGGGACAGGAGTGCTACAGCCCTGATCTGTATGCCACCAAAGACTGCTAGCTACTACCAGGAGCTAGCTAGGAAGAGGCAAGAAGGATTCATCCCTAGGGCCATCAGAGAGAGCATGGCCTTGTCAATACCTTGATTTCTATTTCAGGTCTCCAGACCTGTGAGAGTGGTGGGTTTATGGGCATGTGCCATCATGCCCAGCTCACAACTATTTTCGTGTTTTTGTTGTTTGAGGCAGGGTCTTACTGTGTTGTCTAGGCTGGCCTCCACTTCCTGGATTCAAGCAATTCTCCTGCCTCAGCCTCCTGAATAGTTGAGATTACAGGTGTTAGTCACAACATCTGGCTAACAACCATTATTAGTATTAGTATCAGTAATAGTAGTAGTAGTACTGAGTATCAAACCGAGGGTCTCACACATACTAGGTGAGTACTTTACCACTGAGCTACACCTCCAACTGTCACTGACTCTAACAGACAACTGAGACAACTGTCACTGTTTATCTGTCCTTGATGCAGTACTGGGGACTGAACTCTTGGCCTTGTGCCTGCTGTATAAGTGCTTTACCGCTGAGCTGCCCCCTAAACCCTTTAATATCTTCTGCATCATTCACCTGGCCTGACTGCAGCCACAGACCCTTCTTTCTTTGGTCACATCTATAACTGATGCAGATGAGGGTTCAGTCTTTTCCAAATCAGTATGGTTATTAACATTAGGTGAGTTTACCCCAAAAAGCCCAACCTCAAATGTAGTGTCTGTTAAGTGAGGAAAACATACAAAATTGTATGCACATTATAATATTAGGAAAAATGCATGAATAGGCTAAAAATTGCATAGGAACACTGAGGAACTGTTGCTTGGTTTTGTCTGGGGGTGGGGGCAGGGTCTGCCCATGTAGTTTAGGCTGGTCTTTTTCTGTTGTTTTTTTTGAGACAGGGTCTCACTACGTAGTTGAGACTGACCTGGAACTCACTATGTAGCCCAGGCTGGTCTTGAACTCACAGTGATCCTCCTGCCTCAGCCTCCTGAGTGCTGGGATTACAGGCATGCGCCACTACACCCAGCTTGGTTTTGAACTCACTTTGTAGCCTGGGCTGGCTTTGATCTTGCAGTGATCACTCAGCCTCAGCTCCAAGTACTAGGATCACAGATGTGCAACATCATGCTGGCTAGGAATAGTTTGTTTTCTGCAGTGCTAGGAATCAAATCCAGAGCCCTGAATATGCTACACAAGTGCTCTACTACTGAGCTGCATCCCCAGCCCTGAGGACAGGTTTTTTGTTTTGTTTTGTTTTTTTCTTTTCAGTACCAGGGATTGAACTCAGGACCTTGCACTTGGGAGGTAGGTATGGCACCACTGAGCTAAATCCCTGGCCCAGGGGACAACTTTTCTTTTTTGTACCGGGGATCAAACTCAGGACCTTGCACTTTAGAGGTAGGTGGTAGAACCACAGAGCTAAATCCCCGGCTAGAACAATTTTATTTGAATGATATAATAATAGTAGCTACAAATTACTAAGCACTTTCATTGTGCTGGGCCCGGTGCCAGTAACTTTTTTGTTTATTTTGAGACAGGGTCTTGCTATGTAGTTCAGGCTGGCCTTGAACTCACAGTGATCCCCCTGCCTCAGCCTCTGGAGGGCTAAGATTGCAGACCTGCACCACCACACCAGAATATGTGCTAGTCACTTCACCAACAGTCTGTAATTCTCATGATTACCCTGAAAGGAGGGTATCATGATCCCCACTTTTACAAACAAGGACACAGGCTCTAAGAGAAACCAAGCAGGAAGGATAAAGTGGCACTGCTGGAAAGTAGAATGTGGTTTTGAATCCAAGGCCTGGGCTCACTGCCCCACCATGCACAGAATACTCTTCTTTGTTTAGTGCTACTGTTAAATGAATACGTAAGTCCAGCACCCAAATGTCTGATCTTGGCTTGAAGGCTCCTCTCACACTCTCCACCAGTCTGGAAGGAGCAGCTGCACTGGGGGAAATGAGGCCACGTACCCAGGTGCAGCTGGACGTCCTTCACCTCCAGGGTGCTGGACTTGCGATGCCGAGCGAGCTGGCAGGCTGCTGTCACCACACTCTCGATGAAGTCATCAGCGATCTGCAGCAGCATCTGGAGAGGCAAAGTGGGGAGAGTCGCCATGACGCCGGTAGGGTGGGCGCCTGTTGCTGGGACAACTGTTTTCTCCCTGAATCCAAATTAGTCAGCTTTCTATTAGTGGGCCTGAAATCAGCATTTGGGCTGAGGGAGGGTAAGGGATGAGGAAGACGGCAGAAACATTACCCAGGTCAAGTACAAAGCTCACCTTTCAGAGGAGGTACTTTTTTTTTTGGTACTGGGAATCAAACTCAGAATCTTGCACTTGCAAGGCAGGTGTGGTGCCACTGAACTAAATCACAGGCCAAAGAAGTACTTTTTGTATTTTCTACCTAACAAGGATTAACAAATGCAGTCCTTATTTATTTATTTAGTTAGTTAGTTTTTTGAGACAGAATCTTACTTTGTACTGCAGGCTGGCCTTGTGGCAATCCTCCTGCCTCAGCCTCCCAAGTGCTGGGATCACAGGTGTGTACCACCACACCTGGCTTTTTTGTTTTTTTGAGACAGGGTTTTCCTATATAATCCAGGCTGACCTTAACTCACTATATAGCCCAGGCTGGCCTTGAACTCATAGCAATCCTGCCTCATCCTCCCTAGTGTTAGGATTACAGGTGTGCACCACCATGCTCAATTTATGAAAGCAGTAGAAACAGGATTCAACCTTAAAAGTTTTAAGCCTCATTCCTAACATTTTTGTACTTCACTATCAAATGATTCCTGAACCATGTAAAAAGCAAGACCCAAATTTGAAGATAAAAATCTACATTCAAAAAAATGAAAATTTTAATTGGATAATACATTCCCCCATGACTTTCTCTGTTGACCAAAAACGAAGAAACAAAAAACCTGACTAAAATTATAAGCATAGGCACAGATATTCCTTGCTCTGCTGCACCTTTCTTTACTCGCTGTCATTTTCTGTGTTGGAAAAGAAAATTCATTCTCTTACTTTCTGCTGCTCAAAGCCAAAAACGGCCAGGTGCACGCCTATAACCTGTCTCAAAAAACATAAAAACAAAACAAAATGAACCAAAACACCCAAACCAACCTATTGTCCCTCCCCAGTGAAAGAAAAAAAAAAATCCACAAAAGCAATACGAACAAGAGAAAAACTTAAGCAGGTAAGAGATTCCAATAAACTATTTCAGCGGTGCTAGATTTTGAACACAGCCTTGAGCATGGCAGGCAAGAATGCCACCACGGGGCTGCCTCCAGACCCTCCGGTGAGCTGCTCCTGTTTGTTTGTTTGGGTTTTTTCAGTTTTTATTCTTATGAATTCATGTTTTCGGGACATGATGGTCACATCCCTTGTGGACATAACACATCTCCATTCCTCTTTCATCTCCTTCCCGTCCCTTCCATCCCTCCTCCCTCATCTCTCTTTCTCTTTCCTTTTAACTTATCTTACTGGGGGAGTCTAGTATGTTTTTAAGCAAAATATTTATGAGTGCATTTTAAATATACATAATGATAACACTGATCACAGGGAATCTGTACCAGTATATATCTTGCTTCTTTTTTCCCCATTCTCCTCCCTCATTTATAAAAGGTTTGTTTCCACCTTCTCCTTTGATTTTCTCTCTTTTTTTGTCCTTTTCCCTTCTTTCTTTTTTATCTTGGGTTTTTTTTTTTTTGAGACACAGTCTTGTTATATTGGCCAGGCTGGTCTTGCATTTGTGGGCTCAAGCAATCCTTCTGCCGCAGCTTCCTAAATAGCTACAGATACACACCAACACGTGCAACAAAATCACCTTTTTAGTGGCTTATTCTTTAAGAACAGATATCCAGAATTATCAGACATTTGAATAAAATATCTTAGCATTAAAAACAGAATAAACAGGGCTGGGGATTTAGCTCAGTGGTTCCGGAGCCTGCCTTGCAAGCGCAAGGACCCGAGTTCAATAACCAGTACCACACACACAAAAAAAAAAAAAACCAAAAAACAAAAAACAGAATAAACAGCAGGGCATGGTGGCGCATGCCTGTAATCCCAGCACTCGGGAGGCTGAGACAGGAGGATCGCTGTGAGTTTGAGACCAGCCTACGCTACATAGTGAGTTCCAGGCCAGCCTCAACTACATAGTGAGATACTTTCTCAAAACAACCAAAACCAAACAAACAAACAAACCCAGAATAAACACGGCTGGCACTGCACCTACCCTGTAAGCACAAGGTCCTGAGTTTGATCCCTGATACCAAAAAACCAAACAAAAGACAAACTAAAGTGGGAGCATCCAAAGGAAACAGACAATGCAAGGAAAACAACAAAAGGTAAAAAGTGTAAGTGATGCCCTCAGAGACAAAAATAAGAGAAGATACTGCAACCTAAAATATGAACAGAATGGGGAGAGGGAGGTCTAATACACAAGAAAAACTCTTTGTGCCGGGCATGGTGGCACATACCTGTAGTCCCAGTACTAGGGAGACTGAGGCAGGAGAACTGGCATGAGTTCGAGGCCAGCCTAGGCTAAATAGTGAGTTAAAGCCAGTCTGAACTACATAGTGAGACCCTGTCTCAAAAAACAAAGAAAAGGGCCGGGGATTTAGCTCAGTGGTTCGGTGGCCTGCCTTGCAAGCCCAAGGACCTGAGTTCGATTCCCAGTACCAAAACAAACAAACAAAGAAAAAGAACGAAAGAAAGAAAAAAAAAACTCTTGGAAATTGAAAATCTTACCCTCTTGTCAAAAAAGTTAAAAACCATAGAGCATAATCTAAGGAAAACTCCCTCAGCAAATGGAACTGACAACAATAGGATGAAAAATAAAGGAGAAAAATGAAGGAAAGAAGTTGTATGGCATTTGTGTGAGTAGTGTAACAAAATTCTGATCTACCATTACCAGGAAGTTAATAGACCAATTGAAAATTAATCGAGCCTGGTGTGGGGAAACACACCTGAAATCCTAGCACTCTGGGAGGCTGGGGCAGGAAGATCACAACTTAGAGCCCTGGGCAACTCAGCAACTTAGTGAGACCCTGATCAAAATAGGATGTGTCTCAGTGTGAAGGCTTTGAGCTCAATCCCCACTAATACAGATGCACACACAAAACACACACACAAAAGAAAATTAAAGAAATCAAAGAATATCTGCTTATATTTAAGACTTAGAATAACAGAAGATTATAGAAACCGCTAAAATTATGGAAATTGCCATTGCCTGCAACAATCTATGTCTTTTTTGGTTTTTGTTTACTGTGATTGTGTGTGTGTGTGTGTGTGTGTGTGTGTGTGTGGTACTTGGGACGAACTCAGGGCCTTTGTGCTGAGATATTTCCCCGCATCCCCAGCCCCTTTTAATTTTTTTGTTGTGAGACTTGGTCTTGCTAAATTGCCCAGGCTGAGCTCAAACTTGCTATCCTCCTGCCTCAGCCTCCCAGAGTGCTGGGATTATAGGCTTGTACCATCACACTCAGCTGCCTATGTCTTTTTTGACATAGTAGCAGCTACTGGGTATAAAGTGCTAAGCCTTCTCCTATGTTAGTGGTGGAACATGCGTGATGGAGGGGGCTGTTTGTATCACTGAAAGCTGTAAAAGGTTCACCACCACTGTCCTAGTTGGTTTGTATAAATTATTATATGGGATTCTCACAATAACCCTGTAGGTAAATAACGTCATACCCTACTGACCCAGGAGGACCTGAATCTAAAAAGCTTAAGCAGCTTATCCTCCACTGCGCAGGCTGTAAGTATAGAGACAAGGTTCAAATTCAGATTTGTCTGCCTCTGTGGGGCACAGTGTTGCACACCTGTAATCCATGCTACTCAGGAGGCTGAGGCAGGATGCAAGTTAGAGTCTCACCTGGACAACCTAATGAGACCCATTCTCAAAACAAAAAACAAGCTGGGCATGGTGGTGCATACCTGTGATCCCAGCACTCGGGAAGCTGAGGCAAGACGACTGCCCCAAGTTTGAGGTCAGACTGGGTTAAACAGGGAGACCCTGTCTCCAAAAACCGAGAAAAAAAGGGCCAAGGATGTAGCTGAGTGGTAGAGCAACCCTGGTTCAATCCTAGTACTCAGGAAAAAAAAAAAAGACAAGGGTTAGGAATATGGGGGTGTCAAGTGCTTGCCAGGCATGTGCAAGACCCTGGGATCAATCCCCTGTGCAACCCGAGCCACTCCAAGTATGCTCTTAGTTACATGCTACACCAGCCCTTAGGGACACAGCCACCTTACCTCCTCCACATCTTCATCCAGCTGTTCATTAGGATCCACTTCTCTTACTAAGTCCTGTAACTTCTTCTTGGTCAAAACCTAAAGTTAATTGGGAAAAGATTTTTCACTCAGTATTAAAGAAACATACAACTTCTGAAAAAGGCTGTCAAATTGTCGGATTTAGTGCTGAGTTTGGAAAGAATTCAGTCTGGTCTGCCTGGTGGCACTGCTCCAAAATGAAACTCTCCCAGCAGAAGTAGGCCAGGGAAAGGCAGGAAGACTAGCTTGGAAGAAGCCAGTACATAACTGTGAGGCAGTTTATTTCCGCGTCAGCACTTTTCCTCACTGTCGCTCAGTCACCCCTCTACTGAAGCAGCGTGTACCACACAGAGCGCACCCTCTCCATCTGCTGCTCTTCTTCCGTCTCCCTCCATGGTCAGCTCATGAAGCACCTTTCTGTGCCTCTCCTAGCCCACCAGGTAAAAGCGACCAATTCCTCCATTGGCCTTTTCTGCACTCTGGGCATCACTGTGCATATTTGTAAATTTCCTTGTATCTGACTCAATAGATTAAAATCTCTTGGAGGACAGGAACTATGTATTCATCCCTATATAACTAAAAGATGTGTAAGAATGTATAGCCATCATCACTTTCATAAAGAAAATGCTGTGGTGTGTGTGTGAGTGTGTGTGTGTGTGTGTGTGTGTGTGTGTGTGTGTGTGTGTAATTTACAAATGCTATCAGTAGCTTGGCACTTGGGAGGCTGAGGCAAGAGAGTCACCGCAAGTTCCAGGCCAGCCTGGGCTACCTAGTGACTTCAAGGCCAACCTAAATTACAAAAAAAAAAAAGTTTTTTTAAAAAAAGCTGGACGTGGTGTCACGTGCCTGTGATCCCAGCACTTAAGAGGATCACCACCAAGTTTGAAGCCAGCCTGAGCTACATAATACAAGGCCAGTCTGAACTACATAGCGAGATCCTTTCCCCTCCAAAACACAAAACAAGACGAAAGAGTTGGTTTTCCTCCCAGTTTATCCTATTTCCCACCTCTTTTGTCCCCTTACTGCCAAGATAACTTAAAACACACTGCTTTTATTATAGGACTATTACTCCTTACTAAGTATCTGCAAAGACTGTCTATTGTCTTAAAGTTCTTATGGAAACTATGTAGTACAGGCCTACTGTGCTCTGCTTAATTCTACCTTACAGGTTTTTTTTTGTTTTTGGTACTGGGGATCCATCTCGGGTCCTTGTGCTTGGTGAGGCAGGTGGCAGAACCACTGAGCTAAATCCCCAGGCTTCTGCCTTACCCTTTTATCTCTGGCTCCTCTCCAGTAGACTCCGTTTTCAACAAAGGTCAGTCTCCTGACTCTGCCCAATTCTCCTTTTGCTAGTCTCTCCACCCATTCCCTGAAATGTCTCATCCCTTCTACTCAGCCTATGAGACTTAAATCAGGGCAATGTACTTATTTCTGTGGCTCTGAGGGAAGAATCAGGATCATGAGTATAAAGAGGAAACAGATTTAGGAGTCACTTTACAAACGACAGGAGGGAAGGGAGAGGGAAGGGAGGACTAGAGGATGAAAAAGACTTAAGTGTGTTATGTCCATGTACTACCTCCCCACAATGAATGGAATCACTATGTACACCAAACCTGTGCTAATAAACACTTTGTTTTTCGGTACTGGAGATCGAACTCTGGTCCTCATGCTTGCGAGGCAGGCAGCGGAACCACTGAGCTAAATCTCTGACCCAAACCTGTACTAATAAAAATAAAAATTTAAAAAACTGTAATGACAGAATCTGGATGAATTAAAAGGAAGAATGACTGAGACATTTATTTTAAGAATAATGAACCCAAACCAGGTGTGGTGGACACACCTGTAATCCCAGCACTTGGGAGGCTGAGGCAAGAGGACTGCTGTGAGTTCGAGACCAGCCTGGGCTACATGGTGAGTTCAAGACCAGCCTGAACTTCACAGGAAGTTCTATCTCAAAAACAAACAAAGAAACAAAAAACAAAAAAGAAAACTAACGAACCCATTTATTTATTTATTTTGGTTTTTTTGAGACAAGGTCTCACTACGTAGTTGAGACTGACCTGGAACTCACTATGTAGCCCAGGCTGTTCTCGAACTCACAGCAATCCTCCTGCCTCAGCCTCCTGAGTGCTGGGATTACAGGCATGCGCCACCATGCCTGGCCCCATTTTTTTTTTTTTTGGTACCGGGGATTGAACTCGGGTCCCTGCACTTGCAAGGCAGGGCACCAAACTGCTGAGCTAAATCCCTGGCCCCCCCCCATTTATTTTTTAATAACTACATAGCTAACATATATAAAGCACCTATTACAAGCCAGGTGTTGTGTTATGTATGCGTGTGATGGACGTGTGTACACATGCATATATATAACAATACACAACAGAATTAAAAACTGATAAAGGGCCAGGGATTTAGCTCAATGGTGCCGCTGCCTTTCCTCCTAAGCGCAAGGTCCTGAGTTCGATCCCCAGTACCAAAAACAACAACAACAGCAGCAACAACAAAACTGACAAAGAATGGTAGGATTCCACAGTGGGAAAAGACCTTTCTCAAGTGAGAAGAGACAGCACCTGACGTGGCCACCTCTCAAAGCATGAGTGGTTCAAATAACAGAAAGCCGTGTCTACAGGGGGAAGAGGGAGGAGGAAATACCTGATTGTTCTCAGGGCTAAGACGACCTCCTGTCCCAGGAGTGCCGGGTATCTTTACCACAGTGGTGCTATTGGCCATGGAGCCCTGTGGAGGGGTGCTGGCTGGTTCTGGTTTTATGGATGAAAAATTGGAGAGGTTGATAAGTGCTGAGGGGCCAAACTGGTTCATAATCTGCCGAGCTTTGGACTTCAGCTCATAGAGCTTATCGAGATCTTGTTTCTTTTTGGAGCTGTGAGGACCAAGGCCAATCAACTGCAGAAGGAAAACATGAGAATCAGCACTAGAAACACCTATAATGAAGCATGAGTTTTGAAAGTCAAATTTTCTGTCAGACTTCTTTTTCCTTTCCTAGTACCGGGGATCCAACTCAGGACCTTGCACGTGCCAAGCAGGTGCAGTGCCACTGAGCTACATCCCAGGCCCCTCTGTCAGACTTTGAGAGGTCTCCAGTAAATGGATGGTGACCATTCGATACCTACACATTAGAATGGAGGCAATGAAGAACGTCCACTGTTGATATTTAGAAATAATTTTTTCTCCAAATGCTAAATGAAATACTTCACAAATAAGGAAGACGGTAAATGAAATGAGGACTCTTATGTACAGGGATAAGCTAGAATAAGCGAGACATTTTGGAGGACTTTGTACAAATATAATAATGCTTGATTAAGTACTACATTCCTTATTTAAGTATCAAATAATGTTAAATTCAAATAAATCACAGCACAACCACACACTGAAAACTCAGTCACAAACCTTAAGAAAACCTAGTTAGTTCATTTTGACATTTCAAACCATGCTTGAGTCTGTCAGGGCCATGACCAGTAAACATAAACATAATTTTTAGCAACTGTTAAAAGTTTCTTATCATAAAGAGAAATTCTTCTCTGGGGTCAGCAATCCAAAGTCCATGCAGAGACCCCAGTGTGAAGCAGCTGAGCTTAAATCTTAGAGCCACAAGGCTGACTCTGGATATCAGCTTTAGTGTCGTCAAGGTCAAAGCACATTCACCAGGTTCTGCCACAGCGGCCTCAAAGAGCCTACTTACAGCTATCTGAGTGTCTAGTTCTTTAATTACATCAGCCACAGCTGTGAGCCCGGTGAAATGAGAGGCAGCCATTTTCAAGAGCTACCTGCAAATGAATAGTAAGCATCAAGTGCCACCCTCGCCACAGATGCCTTGCAGCTGTGATGCACAACCAGGATCCAGCAAAGTGGATTCAGAGCAGAAAATGGGGGCAGAAAAACATTTCCCTTCTTTCAGAAACATCTTTAAAAATTAATCAATGGCCAGGAGTGGTGGTGTGCACCTATAATCCAAGCACTGAGGAGGCTGAGGCAGGAGGATCACCACACCAACCTGGACACAGAGTGAGTTCAAGGCCAGGCTGAACTCCATAGGGAGACTCTGTCACCAAAAAAAAAGTATCTGATGGTACTAGGAATAGTATGCGGCATTTGGGAGGCTGAAGCAGAAGAATCTCTTGAGTCCAAGAGTTCAAGACCAGTCTGGGCAACAGAGTGAGACCTCCCTCTCAGGAAGAAAAAAGTCAATAATGGGGCTGGGAGCACAGCTCAATAGTAGAGCACACGCTTACCACACATGAGGCCCTGGGTTCAATTCCTAGTCACAGAAACAGTTAAAGTATAACATATATAAAGAATGATTAGAGTACATATAGACCATCTTCCCATAAAATGGATGTTCTAGGGCAGGGGATTTAGCTCAGTGGTTCCACCGCCTGCCTCACAAGCACAAGGACCTGAGTTCAATCCCTGGTACCAAAAAAGAAAAAAGGACGTTCGACTGTTAGAGATACACAGCCTATGCTATGAAATGTTTAATTTAGCAAACTTGTGGGATTTACACCTGCAGGAATCATGTCAATGGTTTTTAGAACCTGGTAAAGCTTCGTAATCTGAACGTGTATCTGTGTCTGTTCTTCTCTTGGCCCTATTGCCGAGCTCCTCCCCAACACACTAAATTTCTCTCTCCCTTTATGTCTCTGTCTCTGTCTCCCTGTTCTGAGATCAAACCAAAGACTCTGTACCTGTTAGGCAAGTGCTCTATCACTGAACTACAAACCACCACTGTCTAATTTTCCGACATAAGATATAATGTTCTAGCTGTACTCTGGGAGGCAAAGGCAGGAGAATTAAGCTCAGCCTGAAAAATTTAGCAATTTAGCAAGACCCTGTGTCAAAATAAGTTAAGGGATGGGAGCTGGGCATAGTGGTGCACGCCTGTAATCCCAGCACTTGGGAGGCTAAGGCAAGAGGATCACCATGAGTTCAAGGCCAGCCTGGGCTACATAGTGAGACCCTGTCACAAAAAGGGGACGGGTGGTTGGCGATGTAGCTCAATGAGAAGGCCCAGCGTTTAATCCTCAGTACTACAAAAAATAAAAACAAAAAAGGAAACTAAGCTGACTTTGGCTAAGAGGTAGCTGATGTGAATAGCCGAGTATCAGGACCACTTGTTTATTGCTTCAACTACCTACAAATGTTACCTATGGGAGTCAAGATAGGAAAAGATCATGAATGTGGCAACAGCTGTTCTACTGTTATAAATGCAAAATATTGTAGTTTCCTGGAGCCACTTCTATGCAACAGCCTTATCAAAGACTCCCAAACCCCTTTGGCTGCCATCAAGGTCTTGGTGCTTCTGAGGCCACGGAGGCCACGGCAGGGAAGTGCTCACCACACAGGATGCCGCCACACTCACTGGGGCTCCCTCTTGTCCGGTCACTCTGTCTCCTCTCGAGATGGTCCAGGAGGGTCAGATCAGTCCCCTCACCAAGGCAGCCGGTGGAACTGTTGGATCTTCTGGGCCCAGACTGTCTGCAAAGGCCCTGGTCAAGGTCACCCTAGGGAGCCTAACCTGCAAGGTGGGACTGATGACCTGCTCCCCCAGCAGGGCCCATACTAGCAGGGGTGTTGCCCCTTCGTGCCACTGCCAGCTGAGCAAAACAGACAGGATCTGAAGAATCTGATGATGACATGGGCTTTAGTCGGGGGTAGCTGGTTTGTTTTTTCTAGTTTTTTGAGACAGGGTCTAGCTATGTAGTTCAGGCTGATCTTTTTTTTGGTACCAGGGATCGAACTCAGACCCTTGTGCTTGCAAGGCAGGCAGCAGAACCACTGAGCTAAATCCCCGGCCCCCTAGTCCTGGCTGATCTTGATCTCACTATGTAGCCCAAGCTGGCTTACAAATCGCTACAATCCTCCTGCTTCAGCCTCTCAAGTGCTGGGATTAGCGGGCATTGGCCTTTTGGACTAAATCTTTCTTGTAAAATGTTAAATAAAAAGTTCAACTGCACTAGGCATGGTAGCATACTCTCGTAATCCCATCTACTTTGGAGGCTGAGGCAGGACGATTGAAAAGTTTGAGGCCACCCAGGGCAATTTAGCCAGACCTTGTCTCAAAATAAAAAACAAATGGATAAGGATATAACTCAGCAGTACAGCACCCCTGGACCCACCTCCAGAATAGCCAAAACAAAAAAGCAATGGAACTGTGCTGCTGCTGCAAAAAGAGACCAAACTATATCCTCACCAATCTAGCCTCACAGTTAATACACTATACTTCTCAAATAACATTCCTCAATCTTCAAGGGATTTCCCAGATAGCATCTGAATACTGCTCACAATAAGTGGAAACTTTTTTTTTCTTGTATTAGAGATTTTAGCATAAAGGAAATTTCTGTTGCAAGACCTGGCCTCTTCTCAGTACCAAATCACAGAAATAATCACTCATGGAGTTAGGGATCGACCTTAACGAATAACTCAATGCCAGTAACTAAGGAGGCGGGATCTCTAAGGCATGGGAAGAGTCAAAGGTTCTCCCTTTTGAACCAAAGTACAAAAAACATAACAAAACAAAGGTTCTCCCTAAGCAACTAGACTGCAATTTACTGCACCCACTGATGTTTTCCAGAATTTCTGAACATATAATTCTAAGTAAATTATTTCTTAATGTAAAAACTAAATAACTAGGCACCTCCTGCCACACTGACACTACCCGTAGTTCCCACATGATTTCCTTCTATGGATGAACTGAAAGCACTGTAACACATTTGGGTGGGTGGTAATTACATAGGTTTACAACTGTCAAACTCTTCACATTGTAATTTAAGTTTTCTGCATTTTAAACTTAGCATGATAATACACAAGAGTGTTTACCTACCATGCACACAGCCCTGGGTTCAATCTCCAGTAACACACACACACACACACACACACTGAATATTTAAAGCCTGTATCCATAAGGAAAAGATAAGTCTGGTATTGTGGCACACACCTGTGATTCCAACACTCAGGAGGCTGAGGCAGGAGGATTGTTGTGAGTTCAAGGCCAGCCTGAACTATACAGGGAGACCCTGAATTAAAGAAAAAAGAGGAGGGTCAGGGCAGCCTCCCAGCTCTCTGTTCTCAGCCTCCTGAGCAGGTGAGGTTACAGGCATGTGCCACCACATCTAGTTTAACACTTTTAAAATGGGTTTTTGCTTTCCTGCAGTCCCAGGGATTCAATCCAAGACTTCAAACACACTAGGCAATTCTTTACCACTGATCTACATCCCTAAGCGCCCCCCCCACCTTTTTTTTTGTTATCGGAAATTGAACTCAGTTCCTTGCGCTTGCAAGGCAGGCGCTGGAACCGCTGAGCTAAAACCCAGGCCCCCTAAGCACCCCCACTTTTTTATACTGGGGATTCAACCAAGGACTTTTACACTGAACTATATCTCCAGTCCATTTTTATGCATTTTATTTTTGAGATAAGATTTTACTAGGCTGCTAAACTGCCCAGGCTCAAATCCTTCTGACTCCCAGAGGAGTGGAGTGACAGGCGTGCACCACCATGCCCAGGTGATTCGTTCATTTCACATATTTGGGGGCTAAGAGTACAGCAGTAGTAAGTAGAGCACATGCCTTGTATGCCCTTGGCCCTGAGTGTCATTACCAGCACCACAATAAAATAAAATATCTGACCCATCTGGAATGGGAGGTGACATGTGCGCTCCCCATTTCTATGCTCCTTTATTCTAAATAGATCAAAATATTGAAAATTTAAACTTTTGTGTTTTTTTGCAGTACTAGGGGTTGAACCAAGGAATGTTTCATTGCTACAGTATATCCTCAGATCTTTTTATTTTTTATTTTGAGACTGGGTCTTGCTAAGTTGCCCAGGCTGGCCTCAAACTTTCTCCATTCTTCTACCTCAGCCTCTGAGTGCTAGGTTTACAGGCATATGCCACCATGCCCAGCCCCATAGTGTCATTTTTTAGGGTTTGTTTTTTTTTTTTTTTTGTAGCAGGGATTGAACTCAGGACCTTCCACTTGTGAGGCAAGCGCAATGCCACTGAGCTAAATCCCTGGTCCTCCACAGTTTCATTTTTTAATAATTAAATTATAGTCAAAGTTATATATGCTATTTTATTTTATTTTTTCCTGTACTGGAGATCAAACTCAGGACTTTGCACTTGCAAGGAAGGTACAGTGCCACTGAGCTAAATCCCCAGCCCAGTCAAAGTTATATATGAATAGAATATAGTCTATGTATAAGAAATGTCAATTTGCCAGCACTCTGGGTGGCCAAGATATGGAGGACCACAAGTTTGAATCCTGTCTGGGGGATTAGTGACATAGCAAGACACTGTCTCAAAAAAAGGGAGGGCTGGGGATTTAGCTCAGTGGCACTGTACTAGCCTTGCAGGTTGTAAGTTCGATCCCTGGTACCAAACAAACAAACAAACAAAAAGACTGGGATGTAGTTCAGTGTGAAAGTTTTGGGTTCAATCCCCACAGCACATAAACTCATTAATTAATTTAATTTAAAAATAAAAAGATGCCAGTTGGTCATGGCGGTGCACACCTGTAATTCCAGCACTCGGGAGGCTGAGGCAGGAGGTGTGCTTGTAAGTTCTATGCCAGCCTGAACTACAGAGTGAGACCCTATCTCAAGAACAAAAACAAACAGCACACACATACAATTATAGATGCATAAATCACTTCTGGAAAGATACAGAAGGAACTAAGCATGGTGGCCCGGTTGGTAGGTGGGTGAGGCTGGTACTCTGCATGGCTCGAGGGACCACCCTGAAGAGACTTTTGACTGGGTACCCCAAATTCTGTCTAAAAACAGTTATCGGTGGATTTTAGATATACACAATGATAAGATTCATCACAGGGAATTTGTATCTGCACATGATATGTCTTGCTTTTCTCTCATTCATTCCCCCCCTCCTTTGACCCATCTTCTTATTTATAAAAGCTTTAATTTGTTTTTGTTTTTGGAGACAGGGTCTCACTATGTAGTTCAGGCTGGCCTTGAACTCACTACTATATAGACCAGGCTGTTTTCCAACTTGTAAGGATCCTCCTGCTTCAGCCTCCCAAGGGCTAGGATTACAGGCGTGTGCCACCACACCCACAAGATGGAATATGTTTATGGGGATTAATGGCAATATGTCTTTTACCATAATAAACTGAAAAAACAACAGCAAAAACAAAACTTAAATACTCATCTTTTTTTTTTAATCACACCTGATACGCTGGATACACTGATGTGTGGATGTAAAATGGGGCAGTCTTTTTGGAAAACAATTTGGCAGTTTGTTACAAAGTTAAACATATACTGCTGGATGTGGTGGTGCACACCTGTAATCTCAGCACTTGGGAGGCTGAGGCAGGACGGTTACCATGAGTTTGAGGCCAGCCTGGGCTACATAGTGAATTCAAGTTTACCTTGAACCATATAGTAAGACCCTGTCTCAAAAGACACCCCCCAAAACAAAACAAAGTTAAACAGATACTTATCTGACTCAGAAATCCTATATCTAGGTATTTACCCTAGGAAAATGGAAAAAAAAAGAGATAAGCACTTCCTATGTACTTCAGGCTGGCTTTGAAGTTGCTATGTAGTCAGGCTGGCCTCATACTTGAGGCGATCCTTCTGCCTCAGCCTCCTGAGTTCGGGAAGTATAGGCATGGGCCATGACAACTGGATTTGGGAACATATTTACACAAAAATGTGTGAATGTTCAGAGTAACATTACTCATAATTGCCAAAAACTAGAACTCATTGAGACAACCTTCAGTCAGTGAATGGATAAACTTACGTACATCCATAGATAGAGTGGAGTATTACTCAGAAAGGAAGGCTGATCTATACAACATGGATGACTCAAATGCAGTATGCTAAGGGAAAAGACAAGACTCAAAGGCTATATGATTCTATTTGTACGATGGTCTGGAAAAGGCAAGGTTCTAGGGACAGAGAATAGGTCGGTGGTTGTCACGGGGCCTGGGGTTGGGGAGGGTCTAACCACAAAGAAGCATGATTAAATTGGGCGGCAGGCGAAATGTGGTGAGTCTTGCATCTGCGGTACTTCTATGACATCTGTCATATTCCGAGTTGGAACTGTGCTCCAAAATAAATTTTATTTGTATATAAATTTTAAAGAATAAACATAAAACAAAACATTATGGCCTCATCAGAATGTTCAAAGGCTCTATATACAAGTTACCTGTTTACTGACTTTTTTTCTAATTTTCTGAGACAGTATCTCACTATGTAGCCAGGCTAACCTCAAACTCATGATCTTCCTGCCTCAGCCTCCTAAGTTAGATATACACTGTCACCTTCAGCTTCCTGACGACTCTCATCAAGCCCAATTGTGGATAATGCGGACTGAGCACAATGGAATGAAATGACAGCAATAACCTGATTTCTGCTACATAATATACCACTATCTTCGGACTACTCAAATTTCTCACTCTCACTTCCTCAGAATGCCAAGAGGTAAAAACAGGCAAGAATTATGGGGTGTTTGAGGGAATAATATAATAACGAACCCCTCCCTCCTGTGGTACCTACAATGAGGGAATGATGTCCTACGAGAGTCACAAGGAATCTGCAAAGTCCATACTTCTGAAAGATACCACTGAAAATATTTAGGGCTGGGGATGCGGCTTAGTGATAGAGCACTTGCCTAGCACATGTGGAGCTCTGAGTTCTAGTACCACA